ACAGTATACATCACTTACATAGCCCTATTTTCCTTTAATCAGAGATTAGTAATATCAGGTAAACTGTCACACCCAGAAGAAAAACAAACTAAAATGACAAAGTATTGGTGTCTAAAATTCCAAAAGACATAATTTTCTTGCTGAATCAAGAAAACTCTATGGCTGGAAACTTAAGAAATGAGAAAATGCTACATTCAGTAAAATTTAATAATGTTGAATTTACTGATCGGCCATTCAGGGTTGTCCAGAATCTCAACTGGTTAATCTCTCAGGACATTATTACCTGCAGTGTTCCCTCAGTGAGGACTGAACTTGGAAAAAAGGGCCTTCTCCTACTCTGCTCCTGTTTCCTGAAATATCTTGAAAAAAAAATCTGAAGCTCTCGACCTTGACCTCTCTAAGTGGCTTCAAACATCTGTTAAGTTCCTGGCAAGAACCAATGCAGATGTGTTCCTGTTTTTAGTTTTCTACACCGCCTCATAATCTAGCTGTTTTTTGTATGTTTCTTCCTCCTTTTAATTATCATTCTGTTTTCAATTGTTAAAAAAATAAATAAAAATTTTATGAATCATTTGTGAATGTCCACTGTTGTCACCATTCTTTGTTAAAATCCAGGTCTCTCTTGTAAATGAGTCCTCGTGGCTCAGTGGGATTAACCTGTTTAAATAAAGGTTGAATGAATGGAAAAAATCCACCCAACAGCTCATTTTAACATTAAATGGTAAATGGTAAATGGACTGTACTTATAAAGCGACTTTCTATCTTATTTCAAGACACTCAAAGCGCTTTACACAACAATCTGTGCCTCATTTACCCATTCATACAGCACTCTACTAGATCTCTACAAAGCTAATTGAACAAATCATTCTAAAGAAACTAATCAGAGCTTTATCACATTCATACGCTGATGGGACACACATCAGAGGCAATGAGGGGTTCAGTGTTTTGCCCAGGGACATTTCAACATGTGACTGCTGGTGGATTCGAACCCCCAACTCTCGCATTGGAGGACGACCGCTCTAACCACTCAGCCACAGCTGCCCCACATTAAAAGTTCCACATCCAGATACCACGAGATTTTCACTTTGTTAATTCCAGTGAGTACTATACCGCAAAGAGGTGCTGCAGTCCAGCATCCCTGCACCAATCCTCTCCTAAATCCCAAAGTAATTCTGACTGACCAGAGCACACCATTCATGTCTCACACATGCTGCCTACTTTGCTAGAACAGAGGCTCTTGGTTGTTTACTCAGGTGGCAAGAACAAGATCGAAGTCTAGTCTGCCCATGGCATTTCATACTTTACGAGAAGCTAAACTCACTTTATTTTCTCACCAATCATGTTGGTGGATACCACACAATAAAAAAAAGTTCTGCTCAGATGATGTGACAAGGACAAGCAGCAGGAACTCTCCAACCAGGGCTTCAAGAAAGAATTGTATATTGATTTTATTATTTTTGCACAGCCCTGGCAAAGAGAACAATTTTCTTGGTTCTTGCTACGCATGTAAGAAACATGTTATTTTTGTGTTGGCTTATAAGTTCATCAATTTCTTCAGTTTTGTTGGCTTCTGACTCCAACTGTGTCATCTGTTTCCAGTTCTAATCACCATCCCAGTGTATAAAAACCTCCTTGGTTCTGCACAGTCCTTGTGAGATTGTTCTATTGCAAGCTGGTTATTCCTGCCCCTCAGTGTTCTGGGTGAGCCACGTTTATTATCGCCTGCCATCAATGGGCAGTAATGTCCCTTTTTCAACCCTGCTATTCATTTTAACCAAATTAAAAAATATTTTATTCTCAATTTTTATGATATATTTTCAGTATTCTTTAATTGTTGTGCCTATTTTTTCTGTCAGCTTTGCTCAGCACTTTGACTTATTTTTGAAGGTGCTTCAAAAATAAGTTTAGGATTTATTTTATTTCATTTTAATTTAAACAGGTAATCACATTGAGACAGGTAATCATTTGCAAGTGAGACACACGTATAACACAGACACATAAAATCCGTTACATAAAATAATACAATAAAACACTGAAATGAGTTGGCTTGCATGTTTATTATATATAGTGACAAAAGTAATATTTTAATCACCAAGAAATACGTGTTGTCTTTTCTAAGTCTTAACTAACTTGACCAACTAATTTTAAAGTACATACTATATTTATACTCCCTTCTCTCACATTTGTTATACTGCAAGTATTTGGAGATTAGCACCACACCCTGTAAATTTCCATAGATTGACATTGCAGACAGATGCCGCAAGCCTATAAAAACACTAAACTCAACCTGAGAGTGAATTCCGAGAAGACAAAGCAGATCGTCATTCAACAGCATTTATATTTCCTGTTTTCAGGTATTCGTTCTGCATAGTTGTAGACTTCTAACCCCACCCTTGTATTCTGAGCTTCCTATTCAAGTTTTCCATCCAGAAAGAGTGTTTCTTTGACAAAGAAAATAATGCTTCTGACATTTGAGCAGTTTAAACAATCAAAAATTCCTCTCTGTTGCGAGTAGAATTAAAACTCGGCACTGGGTATAAATGGCTTCAGACAACAGAAAGGGTAAGAAAAACCAAAGAAATATATTTTTTACTTTATTGCAATCTAAATCTATAACTTAAAAACATTTTTGTGTTGGCTCTGTGATAACATTTTATATGTCTGCAAAAAGACATTCATCATAATCTGACATGTATACAGATGCTGTCAATAATATTCTTATAATGCACTGCTGCCACCAAAGGCAGTTAATTATGCAATTGTGTCAAAGTGTTTGTCCATCTGTTAACAAAAGATCTCATAAATTGACATATTTTAAGGAAACTTTTAGAAAATAAACAATTGATTTTTATCTACAACTGATGAACTTTTGGAGTCAACCTGGTTCAAGGTGGCTATCACAGCTAAACAAACTTAGCAAACACAAAAATGACTGTAACTTCATCATTTGTACAGATATTGGGCTGAAATGTGGTGTGGTATTAGCTGAGAATCATCTCCAACACTTACTCCAAGCACCATCTGATATTTGTTTAAAACCTTGGCTTTACTTTCTGGTGTCCATCCCATCTGTTTATTAGCAAATGATCTCATGAACCAAAAGACTTTGGTCAAACTCTGAGAAAGTAACCGTTTGATGTTCGTCTACAACAGATTAACTTTTGGAATCTTTTTAATCGACCTGATTCGAGATGGCCACAGTGAACTGAGCTTAGCAGGAACGAAAATCGCTTTAACTCAGTCAGTTTTACAGATATTAAGTTTCACATTGATGCGATAGTTGACAGTCATCCTCATCACTTACTCATGCTGTCAGGTCACATTAGATCACGTGTAATATGTTTCTATTACCAATCATATGAGACTAACAAACCGGTTCCGCAAGAAACAATGATATGACAAAAACGAAAAACCATGAAAGAAGTCCTATCAGTGTTTTCATTAGGACATGTGCCAGACTGTAACAGAACCAAAGTGCAGAATCGTTCATTCTGGACCCAGACTACAACGGAGAGCACAGCTCTACATACTATCTAACATAGATCTACAATGTCTAATAAAGCTCAAGTTTCTGTAATAATAAGATAATAAGATAATTACCGCTCTCAGTGCTCTCACTCACGTGCAGGAATTGTTGAGCATTTTGGAATTCTGGAAAGTGATTGCCGAAGGCGGAATTATAGCATTTTACCCAAGTCTGTTTATATATGTGTGTGTACGTGTGTGTACATTTTCTGTGGCATAAGCAAAATATCTCATGAACCACTGAATAACTCAGTCAGTCCATAAGGGCTAAAATCTGGGGAGGTAATACTTTCAGTTCAATACATTGCAGGACATCTTTGCTCGAAACATTAGCATTAACTGTTAAAGTAAAAAAAAAAATCTGTCAGCAAAATATCTCTACAAGACAAAGTTCACAGAAAGAATCAGAAAAAAATATATACTGGTTGCAGATGTACAACTGAGCAAAATTTGGAGTCAGCCTAAATCAGTATGACCACCACAGCATTTCAGTGTTAGTCTACACAACTTTTAACAGACATTGAGCTAAACTTTGGTGTGGTAGTAGCTGACAGTCATTCACAACACATACGTAAAGCAAATCATGCAAGACATTGCGTGAGATTGCGCATACTGTTAAAGAAATAACCAAACTGGCTGCAACTCGGACGGCTGTGGCTGAGTGGTTAGAGCAGTCGTTCTCCAATAAAAGAGTCGGGGGTTCGATTCCACCAGCAGTCACATGCTCAAGTGTCCCTGGGCAAAACACTGAACACCTCATTGTCTCTGATGTGTGTCCTACTGGTGTATGAATGTGATAAAGCTCTGATTATTCTTTGTACAGATATGGTGGAGTGCTGTATGAATGGGTTAATGAGGCACAGATTGTGTTGTAAAGAGCTTTGAATATCTTGATAAAATAGAAAAGTGCTCTATAAATACAGTCCATTTACCATTTAACTCAACAATGGATAAACTTAGTTTTCATTTCTGCATAAATGCAGTGGATGATATGCATTCCCATAAGGGACGTGTTAATGCATTTTAATAACCCAATGTAACACAAATCAACTGGGAAACTTCTGTGTAATTGATATAAATATCTGTCAACTAATTATTATTATTATGCAGCTTTTTTGTGCACAGTTTGAAAAATAACTTTTGTTGTGAATAGTATCAAGTGAAGCTCATATCATAATAAATCGTATTGTTTGATAAATAAAACCTGCTGTAGCTTAATCCTTCTTGTGAAGGTGACTTATCAACACATTGTCTCTGGAGCAATCACAGAGTATTTTAAGGACAAGCTAATTAGCTTAATAAAAATATTGAGGACAAATATTTTCATTTGTTTCTTTATTAATATGCAAATGTGTGAGGTGTAGTCCTGTGCACTGTTTTTAGGCAAATGTTCAGCAGCAAGTCAGACTGGTTTGACAATAAAAATCTCAGCAGGAAGCTATTTGGGTAAACACCTCCTCTGTCACTTTATCACATCTTTACAGAGACTCGTGGCGCATGAGCCTGACTGACGTGGCACAGACATAATAAGCCGTGGCAGCGATTTGAATCTTCCTTTATGTCGCTGGGAGGGCTTGCATCCTTGTTTCCAGATTGTCAGGGCAATGAGATAGTCCGATCCGTCCTTACTGCCACCATGGAAGCACAGGTGAGGAATAATTCAGACGACTTCTTCAAATAGTTGATTTATATTTGTTTCGATTTTGTTCCATTAAAATGCAGTCCTAACTTTTTCACTTATTGTTGAAAAAACTGTTTCTAAATGGGGAAAAAATCATTTGAAAGGTGATTTAAAATGAAGCCGTTGTGAGTTTTTGAGTGTTGCGCTTAAAGCCACTGTGCATAGTGTTGTACATTTGTAAAAACCATGAACATAAAGAGTTCATTGTAACAACTTGACATTGTCTGAGGGATTAAACTCCCTGAAATTAAGAGACGTGGCACAAACCTGCAGGTGTTTCAGCACAATGTGAGCTGTGCTTCATTTTTCACATTTTAAAGCTGTCAAACTAAATTGAACTGAAATTTTAAGATGCATCATAACTTCGTTTTTTTTTTTTTAATTAACTGTGTTTTCAGGTTCACATGAAAATGGTCCAGAGTGACATCCAAGAGAAGAGCACCAAAGACTCAATGGAGGAGAAGACTGAGGAAAAATTCCTGAAAAATCTTTACATCTTTATGAAGAAGAGAGACACGCCGATAGAAAGAATCCCCAACCTGGGATTCAAGCAAAGTAATTATGAACGTTTTATTTGGAGCGCATTAGATTTATCAATATTTTGTTCATAATTCTTGCCTAAATGATTTGAGTCAAATTAATGTTTTAGAAGAAAGACCACATTGTAAAACCAGATAAGTTAGTTTAACGTTTGTGTTTCAAAAGTTGAAGTATATAAAAAAGTTACAGCTGAGGTAAAGCAACGAATAGAAAAATGTCAAGGGGTCGATCATGAATTTCAAAATGTTCATGAGCAAACAGAAGTTGAAGTTAGGTTTTGTTTTGAATACACACAGTAAGCTTCATTTTTCAGATATTTTGAGTTGTTAAAATGAAGGTCCTTTTACAGAAATATTCACGTTTTTATTTAGATTTGTTGATTATTTTTAGAGAATATCTTGATTTATTATATTCATACACAGACAATATGTCATGTTGCATGAGTAATAAAGCCAGTTTAGAGGTCAAAAATAAATTTGTTCATCAAGCTATCAAAACTTATAAATCTGCAAATATTTTAACTCCTCTAAATCAAAACAGCTGAGGTATTTTTTTTTTTAATATATAAAATATGTAGTTTTAATGCAACTTAGAAGATACATTTTCTAAATATGGAAACTTTTTTCCTTTTATTAAGTTGTGCAGTGTCTAAAAATGTCTAAAAATTAATCGTTTTTTTCTGTTTGTTTTTCTAATTTAACTTCTTACAAAGCTAAACGTTCAAATTGTATATTTAAATAAATATAAACATAACATTCTTCACAAATATTTTGTGAGAACAACCCAAGATAAGTTTTATTTTTTTATTCGGTAAAACCAATTATTAAAAACACTAACTGATTTGTGGTTGTAATTTAAATAATTAATTTATTCCTGTTGCAGCTCATTCTTGGAATGAAGCGCAGATATTAATGTTTTTTTTTTGTTGTTTATTTGTTTTTCAGTTGATTTATTTGTGATGTTCAAGACTGTCAATGAAATGGGCGGCTACCACAAGGTAAGTCATTTTTTATTTCCTAATGAATAGTCATTATTTATATTTTTTCTAATATTTAATCACTTTTAAGATGATTTTTTGAATTAAACTAGTTCCTTAATTGTTTAAAATACAACACTACATATAACCCACAACTTTACACAAATAATACAAGTAGTTAAAGTAGATGTTAAGACTTGAAAACCTACTTCTGAACTGTTGCTATTTTAAGCAGCAGTTTATTTAGTGCAACAAACATAAAAGAACTGTCTTGCACCCCCAGGTGACCTCTCATCAGCTGTGGAAACGAGTTTACAACACACTGGGAGGAAACCCCCGGAGCACGAGCGCAGCCACGTGCACCCGCAGACATTATGAAAAGTGAGAACATTTGTAGATTTATCAAACCATGTGTGGGTCCTGTTTTCATGACCGTTAGCTAAAAGAGTAATAATGTGTGTATGAGTGTGTGTTTGCAAAACATCTCATGAAAACCTCGATGGATTGAAAATGTTTCGTTTCTTCTTTTGGATAAAAGACAAAACGTTTCAGTAAAGAAGAACCTGCACCTGACTCAACCTTGTTAGATGTAAATGAAACTTTCAGAAAGTCATTTTTGGGACGTGCATCTAAAACGTATTAATCTTTGGACTCAATCTAACTCCAGACGACCACCACAGCTAATCTACCTTAGCAAACGCAAAAATGGCCATAACTCATTTTTAGACAAATTGAGCTAACGGTATAGTTGTAGCTCCAAGAATTTACTGAATGCAAATAGATTGCTAATTTCTTTGTTCCATCTTCAAGATGGCTGCCAAAGAAAAATTGCTAAATGAAAAAATAAAAATTCAAGCTACAGTTTGATATTAGATGACAGAAAACTCCAACACACAGTGAGCGCTAATAAATTGCTAAGTTCTCAAATCAAAATGGCCACCACAGCTACTGGTCATACAGATATGACTATAGCTCCGTTATTTTCCAACATATTGAACTAAACATTTATGTGGCAGTAGCTGCCAGAAACCTTCAGCTGAACTCTACTGCTTACATCTTTTGATTAACTCTGGGTGTCACCCTGATTAAAAATGGCCACCACAGCTAAATGACCAACACGATACTGGTTAGGACTTGGTTTTACAGAAATCAAGTTAAAATTTGATTTGGTAGTTGGAGAGAGTCAGTGAAACACTAATATGCTAACATGCCTCGTGACATGAGACAATATTGTGTGAGATTGTGTGACATTTTCAAGATTTGACACAAACAGCTACAACTCTGTCTCTCTATCATAAGTTAAAGGTTTGTATGAAAGGCAGGAGGTGATTATTTCAAAGAATGCAGGTTTTCAATTTTCTGAAGCTCGTCTCATTTAATTTGTTTTGTTTTGTTTTTAGGCTTCTTCTGCCCTATGAATGTCACTTGAAAGGCATATTAATGAGCACCACGCCTCAGCATCAGCCGAAAGCTTATCGCTACGCTAAAGATGAGGACGGCGGCCAGAGACCATCCAAACGCAGGTTTTTGTCCCTGCAGCTGCACCAGGTTGGTGATGTAAATTGCCTTTATTAATAAACTATTAACTTGTTGTTTCTGCTGCTGATAGATTATTTATTTTCCCACAGGGGTCACACAACTTCCAATCAAACCCACATGGGAGTATCTACTCTCTGCCTCTCCACTTCCCTCACTTCTACCACCCAAGCAACCCTGTTCTGCCTCCTTATATCTCACTCTCCTCCCCTGTTATGACCCCACATGCCCCCCATGTTGTCCAGTCCAGATTCCCCTTCCAGCCATCACAGTCAGACTCTGCCGACACAGACAAGGAGCCGCTGGAGCAGCTGCGCCGCCTGGCAGAGCAGTACAAGACCTCAGCCGGACAGCCTCTGAATTTGAGCAAGAAAGATTCAAACTGGGAGGCAAACCTGCACCCAGTCTCATCCTTCTCCCCTCCTTCATCCAGCAAGAATCCAAAGTTTTTAAACAAACCCTCCACACTCTACAGTCCGCACCGTGGGGGGGTGCTGACAGGGGAAAGGGGCGAGACGCAGGACGATGACTCCAGCGAACGGGTCTCCTCTGACTGTGAACCTGCAGAAGGAACGGAGACCAATGCTGCTGGTATCATCTCCACACCTTCAAATAGCCCCATGAGTGGCTGTGGTTTGACAGAGGTGGAGGATACAGATGTCATTGAAGTGGTGAAACCCACCAGCTCTCCCAAAACTGATTTTCCAACAACCAGAGAGGCCAGTCCAGTTGCAGAGGGGCTCAGTCAAATTCTCCCCAAAGAAAAGGAGGAGAATAATATGGAAATAGAGGTGCCGCTGTCCGTGGTCCGAAACTGGCTCAGCATGTGCAGGGCTCCAACTAAAGAGACATTTTCTCCAGGTCATGGGACATCTTCTAGAAAAAGGAGCTGGTCTGATGTGGATGACTCTCCCACTGACCTGACATATTGTGTAAACCCTCAGAACCAGAGCTCACCTGAGAATCTAAGGCTGAGGGGTGAACTGAGCTTAACGCCAGATGGGCAGATGACCAAGCAGCAGCACAGCAGCAGCCAGAGTCCTTTCACCAGCTGCAGCACGTCTCCTGCAGGTGGAGTTCGGAAAGCTGCAGCTATCAGGGATGTTTGGCCATTCTATCAGCAGAAGACGGACGAGCCATTCAACTTCAAATCTGCACATTTATGGGATTTGTATCATAAAAACACCCCGCCTCTCCCCAAAGCATCTCTCACTGATTCTGCTCCTAAATTCTTTGGAGAAGATCAGGTTGGGGGAGGTAAACCGAGATTAGAGATGGAGTCTTCTGCTGTTCTCATGGTGGACTCCAGCCCAGCTTCTGTGCTGCACCTCACCACCGAGGAGGTCATGAAACTGAAAAAAATCATCTCGAGTTCATCATAAAGACCTGGAAACAAAACCAACACCAAACTTAAGCTACATGTTCTGTTTACTTTCTTTTATTTTCACTTTCAATCTCTGGGGGGAAATCATAAAAACACATTTTCATCATTTTGTTCAGAGTAAATTAAAATTAAGTTTTAGTTAAAAAAAATATTATATATGCAAATATTCTGATACTGTATGAAAATACAAAGAAAATAATTTCCATGTTTTATTGTTTGCTTGTATAAATAACAAATGTACATATAAATTAAAGTTATTTTTTACCTTTGTGAATATTAAATAAAATTAATGTTTCAAAACTGATTTGTTGAATGAGTAATTCTGTTGGAATTTTTTTTTTACATATTATTATTATTATTTAATATGTCACATTTTCGACACTTTTCTACACTCACTCTCATAAGAGGCGGACGCCTTTTCTTCCCTCTCCTGTTCTCCTCCTGCTTTTTTTGCTCTCTGTCTGTGTATCAGAGCTCCTATTACATCTTCCAAAACGAAAACTACTGTCATGGATGTGGTCAGCTGAACTTTCAACACAATCGCCAAAATCTTTTCAACAAAGCGAGAGAGTCCTGGAGAGCCCTCATGCCCCGCTGAGGCTCACGCAGCAGGATACGTCATGGATCCGTGGGGAGTTTGGGAGCTGATGTGTCTTTCCCTTCTGTCTCAGGAGGATGCCGAAGATGCTTATATAATTGGATTCATGATAGCAGGGTTTCTGCTTTTTGGCATCAGTGGATTCCTATGTTATCGGTTATTAAGGAAGACAGCGGCAGCAGTTTTGGCAATGGCAAAACTGCCAAGTCTGTGTGAAAGTTTGGTTCATGCTTCGATTACTCAAACCCAGCTGATTTACGAGCTCAACTGTAAGACGGAAATGATTTGTGAGAATCGCAGGCCACCTGCGGCTTCTGGGACTCGTCAGCATGTTGGAGACAACCTTGGAGGAGGCTTATAGGTACGGACCAGGGGAATGCTCACAAATCTGGCCATTTTGGATCAAAAGTACCAGCAGGAATCAAGGCTGGCAAGAAAAAAACAATCTGCCTGAAAAAAATCAACAATTGTGAATTATCTGAATATGACTCCCCCGGTTGGCCTCGAAAGCAGGTTGACTTACCAAATTTCTCCTGGGATATGTGTAAACTAAGGAAAAACTTTGTCTACCACACCGGAGAACTTCTGTGAAGGCTTATCAGAACTGTGTCGGCTGACCAACATCTTATCATGACTATGGTCTATCTGGAAGTGCTTCATGGACAAATCTCACTGTCTTGTCATCAAATGCATGTAATGTGTTTATAAATGTGTTTGCTGGTAGAGATTTTTGATGCCTTAAATTGTGTCCTGATAGGACAAGATGTGAAGAGAGCTTTTATTGCAATAACACTGTCCTATCCTCATGGCTTTTCTCCTTTTCTATCCAAAAGCCTATTCTGAAGAAGGATAAGTGGCTGCTCTCCAGTAGCAGCAGCAACGTGCACTCTTCCCATCTTTCGGGTGACTGTATGAACATAATCTTACTGTTTCAGTACATGGAAAATAAAGCTTATTCTGATTTTGATTGTCATAAAATATTTTTATCACATTATATCTGAGATAGAGTAAGAAGTTCAGGACTCCTGTAGAGACTTGACGTAGAGCCGCTGCTCCTCCACATCTAGAGGAGTTGTAATTGAGATGGTGTGAGCATCTGCTAAATATGCCCCCTAAATATCTATCTGAGGAGGTGTTCATGTTCATTGGGGAGGACGCCCTGGGGAAGACCTAGGATATGCTGGAGAGACTTTGTTTCTTGTCTAGCCTGGGAATGCCTTAATGGAAGAGGATGCTGTGAAAAATGACATCTGGGCCTCCCAGCCAGGGTTGCCAGATAGGAAATGGTGAAATATTGTACTGTCATTATTGCATCCTCATCCAAATTATCATATGCACTGATAGTGGGTGCTGTTTTCCACTCATTTTGTGAGTGTGTGTGTGTGTGTGTGAGGAAGGTGTGTGTGGGGGGGGGGGGGGGGGGGGGGGGGGGGTGGGGGGGTTTTGAGTTGTTGACACTTTCGCTTTCTTTGCCAATAAACCTTTTTCACAACAACCGGAAGTAGCATCTCCTGGTGCTGGGTCACTTCCTGTTATTGCGAGTCTATGGAAGTGCAAGCCTTTTCTGTCGCTGATGTGGAGGAAGTGGCAAATTCAAGAACCAATGAACTTGAGAAAGGATACAAGTTCTTCCATGAAGAATATATCCACAGCTATCAAGGTAAGAAAAGACGTAGCTTAACGAGCTAACCGTTAGCTACAGCATATGAAGTACATAAACATCGTAATAAAGCCTAATTTAATGTGCTAAATGATTTGGAATATTTGAGACAGACGTGGTATAAACTTTTAAGTGATATTTGAACATTCTGATATGTGTTTGCCGTTACAATTTGTGAAGGAAAACGTACTAGATGTTAGTTATGAGATGCTATGATGCTTGATGTTCAAATTGTGCTTTACTTCTGCATAACTACAGGTCAAATATTGTCGAGGGACAGGTAGTTGTCAGAGCTAGATGCTTCAGGTCCGTGAAGAAAAATGATGAACCACAGACTGCAGGTTTGAAACAGTCAGAAAGCCGGTTGGCTCATGTTCATTAGAGTTCCTGTTCATTTCTGACAGCTGAAGAACTTTGACGTACGATGGACAACTTCTGTACTGAGAGCTTACAGTAACATCTTCCTGCTCACTGGTTACTGTCTGTGGTAGCAGCATAGTCTGTTTTGTTCTGATGATGTTTCAGCTCATCTTCAAACTAGAATCTATTACTTGTTTAAAGCTAAATATGTTATAACAATTATTATATGTATGTGTGCTAAAAACAGTTATCTGTTTTAAATCTCACTGGGTGACAGCAGGAGAAAAATTAGGTCAGCTGGAGTCCCAACCACTTATCGCTCGCCTAAACGTTGGAGCTGGTACCATCCAGGTTTGGTCCTGTGCCACAGGGCTCACAGATGTTTTACCAGTGCCCACCTGAGAAGTCCTGCGTAGAATCATTCTGGACCACATGGCTCCACAATTCCCTGCTCTTCCTCTGAAGCTGCAGTCTTCCCGTGTGTTTTGTGTCCACACTTCAAACATCTTCAGTCTCTGCAAGTGTCACTGGAAACATCTTCTCAGAGGCCAGAACCAGGGAGCAGTCCAGATGTTCTGCAGGGGTACAGCTTCTACAACCAAGGCTTACTGCGAGCCATTTTCATCTTTCTTGCAGAAGAAGTGTGGAGGAGGAGTCTGCTGACGTGTTTTACTTCAACACCTTCATCCATGTGTTTATATCAGTGCAGTAAGAATCATAAAATGTACAAATCACCCATTAGTTCCTTCATATTTCTAATATTCAGTCTCAAGCTGTGAATCACTGTAAATACTGTAAATAGTTGTTACTCATGAAAAATACAGTACATAAATGTGCCAATTTCTTTAAAATGAAATTGCATAATTTGGGAAAAATATTTGTAATCCACTATCAATTTATAGTGTACAGTTAAAATAATAAATAGTTAAAGGCTTTTTGTTTTTAGTAGATATTGTAAATTACACATGTTTTTCTTTCAATACAACTGAATCAATCCACAAATTAAATAAAAAAACAGTACAGTATGCTGCTCAAGTGTGCTTTTATTGAAGAATGTTTAAAATAATTCAAAACCTTTAAATAACTAATTACATAACACTAGAACAATATGTAACAAGCTTGGGTATGGATGTTATTTTAATTTTATAAACTTACTGCAACACGACCTTAGGACTTTCACCCAAGGACATAATTTATACACAGAAAAGACACTTGGGTTTGTTTACAAGTAAGCAGGAGACTGTTCCAAGATACAATATACATTTTATTAACACTAAGTTAAAAATCTATTCTAATGGAGGCAATAATGATTCTTAAAATAAATATTGAGCCAAGGCCGAGACTTTCCAGTGGTCAGTCAACTAAAAGACAAAAGGATGTATTTTATGTGATGCACGAGACACGAGTGGAACGGAACCTACACAATACTCGACGGCCACCTTCAACCTGGAACATAAATATGAAGTTAGGTAAACAAAAATAAATATGAATAATATTTAAGAATTGCAAAACAAACAAACAAACACGGCCCTCACATTCACATATAAAAATAGTTGAAATTGGCCCCAGCCTTTAGCTCAGTCAGCCAATCTTCTCTCAGGTAAGACACTGACTAATCATGGTGACTGAAGCAGGAGTGAGAGTCCACCAACGCAGGACTGAGCAGAATGAGGATAACTGGGAGTGCACCTGTAAAACCACAAAATAAAATACGAATAGCAAGATCGTTTCAATTATTGAGCTTATTGATATTATTATTACTGTTGTTGACATTATTTCCGTGAAGATCAATACATTGTCAGAGCATGTAACTTGATCTCTCCATGACTTACATGACAAGTTTATAATGTACCATCTTACTGTGATATTTACCTGTGGGTGGATGTGCCACCAGGTGAAGTGAGTTTCACGTGGACTCCAGCAGCAGCTTCAGCCTGGCTAGTTTTCTGTGAGAGGACAAGCTGCTGTTTCTGAGCTCGCTAAGAACAGACTCCCTCTTAGCTGGTGCGGTGAAATTATTCCAGGTGAAGATAAAAGTAACAACTCAACTTTTAAAGCAGCTGGTGGTGTATCCGCAGACAAAATCCTCCTGAGTGAAATGCAGGTTATATACAAGTGCTCCCTGGCTTTATGATAACAAGTGTTAATGGTATGACTAAGTTTTATCTAGAAATTGAAACTTATTTCTCTTTATGGTTATATTCTTTCCATAGCACATTTTGTATTTAATTTCTTTCATCCATCCATCCATCCATCCATCCATCTGTTGTCTTTACCTGCTTCATTTCTTTCATTCTTTTTAAAATTTTATGCAAAAACAGCAAAAAAAAATACCACTATGTAATTGAAAACCAAAATGTTCAGCTTGAACAATAAAAATATGACCTACTAATGTGTCAATTTGTTGCAGTAATTATTAGTTTCCTTTTGCATGCCTCTGTGTATGCAAATTTTTTC